CTGTCCCTCTTCTTCAGATGTATCCTAGGGACTGGTTGCAGGGCCTTTGCACTGGGTAAATTTCTCCCTGGAGTGCTCATCCCTAGACAGCACAACTCATTTTCTTGGTGCCATCCCAATCTTCTTTTTTTTCCTTTTTCATGTGGCGCATGTGCGTGTGGGGTGTGTGTGTGTGTGTGTGTGTGTGTGTGTGTGTGTGTTTTGCATATGTGTGGATTTGTGTGTGGGTGCATGTCACATGGAGAACTCCAGAGTTGATGCTGGGAATCATCCTCTATTGCTTTTCTATCTTATTCACTGAAGCAGGGTCTCTAAGTCAAACCCAGAGCTCATCCATATGGCTAGTCTCAATAGCCAGCTTGCTCTACCTTCAGAGGCTGGAATTATAGGCAGACTATTCCATCCACCCAGTATTTTCATGGGTTTCTGGGGATTTGAACTCTAGGCCTCAGCACTCAGCTGCTGAGCCATCTTCCCAGACCTGTCATCCCAATCTTTTAAAAATATTTTATTTATTATTTTTATTTTATGTGTATGAGTGTATTGCCTGCATGTATGCAAGTGCGCCCATGTTGTGCAATGCCCCCAGAGGCCAGGAGAGGGCGTTAGATCCCCTGGAACTGGAGTTATAGATGATGACTGGCTGCCACATGGGTGCTGGGATTTGAAGCGGGGTCCTCTGGAAGAGCAACCAGTGCTCTTAACTGCTGAGCCATCTCTCCAGCCCCTTTAATCAAATCTTGACTTCTCTTCAGATAGTCCCTGGCCACCCAACCCATTTAAAACTGAAAAAGCTTTTCAATCTCTCCTCTATATTTTACTTTTTTTTTTTTTTTAATAGCAGGGAAGATTCTCTGGGCTCATCAGAAAGCTATTTCTATGAGGGCCAGAACATTTGCCCATCTTGTTTCTTGTTGTGTTTCTATTACCTACAACAGCCTGACACATAGTAGATGTTTACTGAATACTTGTTTACTCCCTGAGTAATGTGGGTCAGCTGAGGTTATGGGAGGTTGTAGTTTTTGGACATTTTGTGTTTATGTATAGTTGGTGCAATACTTTTTCTGAGGGAACATGAACAGATGTCTATTCATTATAGGTAGGGCACTAAATGACAGACCAAAGCAATGATTCTGTTGAATCCAGCTTGATGAATCAGTGAGCTTTTAGGGCTTACTTATAGGAGCACAGGTGAGTGGTGTGGCCTTCATTTTGTCTTTCATATCTGCAGACAACATTGCCTATCAGTGGTGGCGCATACGATTATGACTTGAAAAACAGCTTGAAAATGTGAAGTATTAGCTCCACATGTTTTAATCCTATTGACCTAATTGTTCAACTATTTGTGAATTAGTAGGCTTTATGGGCTTGGAATTGAAAAGTTCCCTTTCCCACAAGGCAAGCTCAGCTATCAGCGAGGGTGTTCTGTGAAAACCTGTGACCACCTTGTGGTTCTAATTAAAGAATAACTCACCTCCAGTGAGAAGAGAATCTCCTAACATCACCTCCCAAGTTAAGATTTAAGTACATGAATTTGGGGTGTCCTAATTAGCTTTAATTGTCAACTTGGCACAGCCTAGAGTCATTGGAGAAGGGAGTCTCAACTCAGGGATTTCCCAGATCAGACTGGCTAATGGCATGTCTTTGATAGACTGTCTAATTATTAATTGATGTAGAAAGGCTCAGTCCACTGTGGGTGGCATTATCTCCTGGGCGGTTGGTCCTGGACTGTATAAGGAAGCTGACTAAGCATGTGAGTGAGCCAGAAAGCATCATTTCTCCATGGTTTCTGCTTCAAGTTATCACTGGATTCTTGTCCTGAGTTCCCCCAGTGATGCACTATAATACGTATGCTGAAATAAACCCTTACCTCCTCTAAGTGGTTTTTGTCCAGAATGTTTTATCACAATAACAGAATGAAATTAAAGCAGGAGGGAAGCACAAGCATTTAGACCTCTGTGTGTGTGTATGTGCATGTGTGTGTGTGTGTGTGTTTTATCACCTTGACTTTGCTAGTATCTGTTGTGATTGGCTTTGTCGACCTGATACACCTGGGAAGAGGGAACCTCAGTTGGGGAATTGTCTCTATTGAATTGGCCTCTGGGCATGTCTGTTAGGCATTTTCTTGATTGTTGAGTGATGTGGGACTGCCCAGCCCACTGTGGGTGGTGGCCCCTCTGGGCGGGTGGTCCTGGGTTGTATAAGAAAGCAGGCTGAGCAGAGGCCAGAAGAGAAAGCCAGTAAGAGCGTTCCTCCATGGTCTGTGCTTCAGCCCCTGCCTCCAGGTTCCTGCTCTGGCTTCCTTCCATGATGAACTGGGATCATGATGTATAAACCCTTTCCTCTCCAACTTGTTTTCAGTTACTGTTTTATCACAGCTATTGCCTACTAGGACAATATCTATATCTGATAGGATGAGCCCACTCTCCTCCCCACCTCCTTTTTCCAAGTTACCTTGTCTTTTTGTGACCATTGTTTTTCCAATCATAAAAGTAAGTTTACTAAGTTACTAAATAAAAATTCCCCTAGAATATTCATTAGACTAATTAGGCAATGATGTAGGGAGAACCTAATATTGAGGCTGCCCATTCGCTACTCAGCATGGGCAGTTCCATTGTCTCAATTCTTCATTGACTTCTTTTCCAAGACTAAAATGTATCTCCTCATGCAGGTCTTGTATATTCCTCCTTGTATTAATGTCTGTGTCATAGTTTGTTTGATTTGTTTAGCTTTGTTTGAGACAGGGTCTCCCTGTAGTTCCAAATGGCCAAGAACTCACTATGTAGACCAGGCTAGCCTCGGTCTCACAAAGATCCACCTGCCTCTGCCTCCCAAGTGGTGGGATTAAAGGTATGTGTGCCACCTTTATGAGTGGCAGTTTTTATTGCCACTGTGAACAGTATCTTACTTTGTGCTATATTTTCTGTTTGGTATTTCTGGCACAGAAGATTATTTTTAGCTTTTCTAAATTTGTACATCTGGCAACATTGTGGATTCAGTTTATTTATTCAAGTTTATTTGTTTTGGGTTCTTTTTTAAAAATTTTACTTATTTGTTTATTTTATTTTATTTTATGTGTATATGTGTATTGCCTGCATGTAGGTAAGTGCACCCATGTTGTGCAATGCCCTCAGAGATCAGAAGAAGGCATCAGATTTCCCTAGAACTGGAGTCACAGATGGTTGTTAATTACCATGTGGGTGCTGGGAATTGAACCCAGGTCCTCTGCAAGAGCAGCAAGTGCTTTTAACCACTGAGCGATCTATAGATTTTTAGGTAGAGATGGGGATTAAACCTAGGAGCTCACGCATGTCACATGCTCTACCACGGAGCAACTCCCCAAACCCATACTGTTCATAATCTTAGTTTTATACAGTTTAATTCATACCCAGTGTAAGCCATCAGGTAAGTAAGCAAGGCATTTGGAATACTGACATTTAAATACAACACAA